CTACGAGACAGGGAACGGTCGGACAGGGGGAAAGAAGGAAAAGGAGATGGAATCGGACATTGACGAAAGGAAAATGGATAATAAAAAGTGAGAAGAGTGAAGATATATAGCGAAGGAAAAGGTGAAATTAAGGTAAAGAAAATTAAATCAAACAATTCATTCACGAGACTGTACAGGATACTAAAAAGCGAAAATATTAAAAAGGAAAAATGAATGTACAGGATAATAAAAAAGAAGAGAATACAAAAAGGAAAACGAGAAAAGGAATGAAAGAAAAGCGCATAAATCACCCGTCATTTTCCGAGCTCTTCCGGGACACTTTCACGGCCAAGGCAGGGACCGCGCGTGTGAGAAACAGCCGAAGGGAGCGAAGGAAGGAAAAGAGAAGGTAAGGAGGGAGGAGGCAAAGAGAAGGGGAAATATAGGTTGAAGGAATGGAACACAACCTCGATAAAGGAACAGGTTACGGAGGGAGGGACGGTTTGGGGGTGGAGAGAGGGAGGCAAGAGAGAGGGTGAGTGGGGAGGGGAGGTGTGGTCAGGAGAGGGAAACAACCTCCAAGCTGGGAAGAAAACGACCCGCCAGAGACAACCCATCAAACGCCACGCCACAAACTCCTCGGTCAACGGGGACAATATTCTACAATACACCGCGTGACTTCACCGGGACAACACTAACTCGTGACGTCAAGCCACAATCACGACTGCATCCTCCTCCCCCTCCTCCCTCCCCCCTACCCCCCCCCCCCATCAGGAGACGTCCTTGCCCGCTCGTCCAGAGGTCGCGGTGGGCGGCCGTACTCTGAGGAGGTGGAATTTCCTCCTGTGAGTCACCACACCTCCTGTTATGACTCCGCTGTCAACCTCTCATCCCCGCGGCCCATGTGCTGCTTTCTCCCCTGCTCCTGGCTGACCGCTACTTCTCTTTCTGCTGTCTCTCTCTCTCTCTCTCTCTCTTCTCTCTCTCTCTCTCTCTCTCTCTCTCATCTCTCTCTCTCTCTCTCTCTCTCTCTCTCTCTCTCTCTCTCTCTGTGTGTGTGTGTGTGTGTGTGTGTGTGTGTGTGTGTGTGTGTGTGTGTGTGTGTGTGTGGTGTGTGTGTGTGTGTGTAATTATGCGCATATTTCTGCTTGTGTCTACACGTGAATTTACATGAATTATGCACAGCGAAGATCAGTAGCCAAGTGGCGTTTATTATCTCGGCAGGACCATAAACTTTCCCTATAAGTCACACCGCTTAATGGCCGCCTGGGCGTGCGGCGGGGCACCAGTCCTCGCGGCGCCCACGGTCGCCGTGGCTGGCGTGTACACACAACCCTGAACAAACATACGACAACGCTTGAATGAATTGACAACGTACTCGCCTGTGAATCCTAATCGGGCATGGAAATGAGTTTGTATTTATTAACAATTAATTAACTCGGCAAACTTTCTATTATTTCTTTATCTAAGTTATAATTGAAGCCAAGGACGGCGAAGGGAAGGCGTGCCAACAGTGTCGCTCCTTTACACGCACTGCCCACACCTCTAGGTAGAGGGGGAGGGGAGTACTTCCGGGCGTGAGTCACGGTGTGTTGATTAGGGCTGAGGGGGAGGGGAGGGAAAGGGGGAAGGGGAGAGGCAAAATGGAGAAGGGAGGGAGGAGGAAAAACGAGGAGGGAGGGAGGAGGGCGAGGGAGAGAGGGAGGCACTATCTGTCACCAATAAAGATAAGAGCTTCGAAACATTCCGTGACCTCCCCCCCCCCAAAGACACGCCCACGCGCACCCACCCCGAAGTCACTGACCGATTCCGTTGTCACAAAGGAAAGCCGATCCCGGCGACAGACGGGAAATAACAGAGATAGATCCTCCCTATATTTCCAACGCCATTAGCGCTCCGACAGTTGCAATATTTTTGCTCCCATTTCGCCATATTTTTGCGCGTCAGGAAATGGCCAATATTCCGCCTGTTGCCATTTCCGCGTGAATCACAGGGCCTCGAGGCTCGCAGTACGCAGGGGCGTCCCGGTACTGGCAGGGGAAGTGACGCGACAGGGACCGCGCGATTCATGAGGCATGCCTGGCGTGACGTCATCATACCGCCAGCCAAAGGAAAGGGATGTATGTTAATTAATATTCATCAATTAGTTTTACGAGTAATGTCGTAATAAGTCTTCGTGCCGTTATCATATTTCTGTCATTCTACAAGTGATAGTAAGTCATCGAAGGCCAACTGAAGAGCAGGGACACTTGAAAGTCGCGAGGACCGCCGCCACAGCGACACAGGGCAGAACGGAGACGCTGCCCGCTGCGCTGGCCGGGGTGGCGCCGGCCGGCCACGGGGCAGGATCGGCGTCCAGCACTAGAACAATAAAACTCGAACGCCCTGGCCTTTATTGCTCCTGCTGTCAATCTCCCGCCGGATAGGAGCATCGTCTTCATCGATCCCTCAGCCGACACAACAGCAACAGCCGAGGGCGCACAGCTCGCCTCCAAGCAACCACAGCAAACCACCGCGCGGAATTAACAAGCACGGAGAATGCTACTGATACGCCGAGTTAATGAGCAAATCGCCTGAACAGTTGCAGTGGGCGTGCAACAAAGAAGGCGGGATGCAATAGCAGGACTCAGGCGGGATGCGGGACACTGACCGACCACCTGCAGGACTTGGAGGCGCCGAGGAGCTTCATTAGGCTCACGGCCGACGCTGCTCCTATTGACACAGGCACCGAGGCAACACCACACGGCCGCCGGTTGGGTGCGCTGCCGGGCTTCCTGAGGTTTATCCCCTGCGATCGCCTCTGGGTTTGAGCCAAAGCCTTCATTCGTAAAATACTATTCTTGCCCACTCTCGATCCCATCTATCCCCCCCATCTCTATCTCTATCTCTCTCTCTCTCTCTCTCTCTCTCTCTCTCTCTCTCTCTCTCTCTCTCTCTCACCCACCCACCCACCCTTCCTCTCTCTCTCTCCTGCCTGTGCGTATATGCAGGCATTTCCAGCCGCGAACACGAGAGCCCGAGGGAACTCTGCGCTGCATGGGCTGAGTCATGTTTCCAGCCGGAGGGGAATGCCAGAATGCGGGGCGTGACACGGCCTTGGTGCCTCCGCGCTCAGGGAACATGACATGACCAAAATGTTCTTGGGCTGATGTCAGAGATATGTGTGAGTTTGTACGTGAAGATATCAGGGTCAAACACGCACAAATACACTCACGCGTGCAAACTGACTCGGCCTCCTTTATTCTAATCCCTCGTCCTTCCCTTTCTTTCTTTGTGTTTGTTTGTTTGTTTGGTGTGTGTGTGTGTGTGTGTGTGTGTGTGTGTGTGTGTGTGTGTGTGTGTGTGTGTGTGTGTGTGTGTGTGTGTGTGTGTGTGTGTGTGTGTGTGTGTGTGTGTGAGTGCCTGTCTCCCCCTCCCTCTGAGTCATAAACAAATGCAAATTGCAAACATAAAAAAGGAAGTACAAGCAGAGAAAAAAAAACAAATAAAAACAGCAACTAATCATTCCTGAATCACAGCTTTGTAGTCGGCATTATCGGCCCCTGAAAAATCTTGGCTAAGAAACAAAAACAAAAACACAAGCTCAGTCCAGTAACACGAGACTGTCTTGCAAGCAAGTGGCGCCTCAGGGCTAATGGGCTCCAAAGCCTCTGCGAAACAGTTAACCTAAACGCCCATCTTAAAAAGGAGAGAGAAGGAGAGATAGAGATAGATAGAGAGAGAGAGAGAGAGAGAGAGAGAGAGAGAGAGAGAGAGAGAGAGAGAGAGAGAGAGAGAGAGAGAGAGAGAGAGAGAGAGAGAGAGAGAGAGAGAGAGAGAGAGAGAGAGAGATATATATATATATATATATATATATATATATATATATATATATATATATATAGAGAGAGAGAGAGAGAGAGAGAGAGAGAGAGAGAGAGAGAGAGAGAGAGAGAGAGAAAGACAGAGAGACAGAGAGAGAGAAATACGGAAAATACATGTCTCAAATATATCGCAGAACTTCCTAGCTGCAAGCCCATACAAAGCAAATCACAGACGCTTCAGAAAAAGGCAATCCCAGAAAATCATATGACCTGCACCGAAATTACACATGTTATCATCAAAAGGAAAAACATACAATTAAAAAAGGAGATTATACGACCTGCAACTAAATCACCTATGTTATCATGTAAAGGAAATAAAAACATACAACTGACAACAAACCAATACATCCAACTGGTCCTAATCGACACCAAATCATACAACAAAACACAGAAACACGAAAGGAAACAAACATTAAAAAATAACCGTTACGAGTTTTAAAGTACATGTATACACAAAGCACCCTCCTTCAGGGATCTCAAGGAGGCGGCGCCCTTACAGTCGACCTGGGCACCCCTGAAGTTCGGCTCTGATAATAAAAATAAAACCCAGGTGCTTAACTTATCATTCACAAATACTTATCTGAAAATCCAAACGTGAAGTGGCTTTATTTTATCATGCAGGAAAAATTTGTGATAAGCTCCATTTTTTTACATTCGAATCTTTTTTGCTGCAATGAAACTTAATATGAACATTTGCCTTCCTAAGCACGGTAGTAATGCAAATCATATGCAGTTCCCACTTGTAAATTGCTTCAGATGACTTAGCAGAAATGTCCTCAAAATCTCACCTATTGGGCAGGTAATTCCTCAAATAAGTATGACAATAGTGCCACTTACACACTGTACACAAATAAAATGGATTCCGCTACCTGACCTCGAATAACTTCCTTTTTAAAACCACAAAGCATCCCGTTACGGAACACGATGCACAGCAAACAAATACACAAACACACATTCAAAAAGATTTCAATTCTCGAAGGAAATTTTGCGATCCTCCCCCTATGCAGTAGGCATAATTACTATCAGATCTAGCGCATAATGAGAGCTAAGGCTTCAGAAGCTCCATACCAAGGCTAGACTGATCCCAAATGGCCACAGAAGGCATGGGATCGTCCCCAGAGCCTTTCCTGGGGCGCGGGTTGATGTCACTCCACTTACGTTTGTTTTCCCAAGCGAGGAACTCCAAAGAAGCAGACAGGTTGTTGACGTAGTGCAACAGCATGTCCAGCTGTGCCAGATCCTCGTCGTATTCGTCATCGTTTTTGTACACTGCCTTCTTGTCTTCCTCCAGCCCACCCACGCCCGTAGACGTGGGCTGCTGCTTCACGCCCATGACTTCTCCTGAAGGCATGGTTACGAAGTACGCCAACAGGGCACCCGGATTTTCAATCACTTAATTCAGCGGACGTGAACGCGGGTCATCGTTTATATGCAGCCATTGAAGTAAATATTCATTATATTCCACTTTCCAGCCAATTTGCACTAATATCCAGCGTGTCTTCCAAGTCACTTATCCCATATTCGCAATTATCACATCCATAGAAATCCACAAGCTCCTCAAAGTAGTTATAGTAGGAAACACACTGGACTCACGAAAGAGTATTTTTTTGAGTCGCTACACTCCCACGGTCCTTTCGAGCAAAACAAACCGCAAAATGTAGTTGTAGGTAAAGTGTTTCCCCAGCACTCAAAATGGTCAAAAGTTAATCAACACTTCCACTCCCGATACAACGAACAACTCGGCATCAGGGGAGCATCAAGAAGACAACATCCATAAGCACACGCGCACCCAGGCGGAGGGTCACTGGCACACGGGACCGGGAGAGCGCATGCGTACGTCCTCTCACACGGCCCGCTGGGTGGTTACTGAGCGCCCACTTCGGAGGCTCAATGTTACACCCTCCCCGCCGCCGCCGCCCTACTCGT